CAGTGCCCCCCACCCCCCCCCCCGAGGAGCCCCCCTGCGCTGCTTTTGCCTTTGTAGCAGAGGCAGCCACACAAGGTGCTAGGCGGGAGAAGGTCCGTGAGGGGAGCCAGTTTAAAACCAGCTCCACTCGTGGACTGGCTGCCCTGTCGCCCTGTGCTGCTGCCTCTGATATAGGCAGCAAGCAGTCCCTGTCCAGGGACCGGGGGGAGAGGGTCTGAGCTCCTGGATCCGGCGTGAGCTGGAACTGAGCCAGGCTGCCTGCTTGCCCAGCTCCTAATATGCTTTCAATGCAGAGCTGCAGTGGGGTAGGTTCCAGACCCAGTGCAAGCCAGGACTGAGCTGGACTTCTGGCCAACCTGCTAAAAAAAATGTCTGGCAAGGGTGTAGGGAGGGAAATGTGTGGAGACTGTAGCATTAACCAATAAGCTTTTGCTTATCAGTTGATTGACTGCACTATTACATCCCGAGGGGGGAGCCTTTATTTTACCACTGACCCACAGAAAAAACAGTTGGGGGGGTCATATCCAAGCAAAGCAAAACAAAAAAATACCCTCACTCAACTCACCTGTAATCAGGGCTAGAATCACTCTCCTAGGGCCCCAGAACTGTTAGATTTTGTGGGACCCCTTAAGCTCTTGGGTGGGGCCAAAAATGAGAGGTTCAGAGGGTAGGAGGGAGCTGGGAGGTTGTGGCTGGGAGGGGGTGAGGAGGGTGCAAACTCTGAGGTAGGGTTGGTAAAGAGGCTTTTGGGGTGGAGGAGGGAGCTCCAGGGTGGAGCCAGTGGCTTTGGAGTACAGGAGGGGTCTACGCACAGGAGGTTGGGGAGAGGGAGCAGGGTGTGGGAGGGGCCTTAGGGCTGGGGTAGGGTATTGTGGTGCAAGACACTTTCCTGGGCCAGCTCTCATTTGGTATGTGTCTGGGGGAAGCAGATGACTCAGCATGGGTTGCATTCTCCTCTGCTCGTGTTCCAGCCCTGCATAGGCGGGTAGCACAAAGGCTCGGGGCTCCTGACCCATGCCACAGACTTGCCATGGGTTGGATCAAATTAAGCAGGTGGCCAAGATCTCACCTAGCTGGAGGTTCCCCAGCCCTGCTCTAAAGCATCATGTAAAGTAGGCTTAGCTCTAAGGCTTAACTCTACTGCCATGAAAACTTGCACTGGTGTGACTAGATCAGTGGGTTTGCAACAGCGTAACTCAATGGTGGACAACCTGTGGGTTGCACGTGGCAGTCTGCCAGACAGGATGTTTACCTTGTGTCCACAGGGGCAGCTGCCCGCCACTCCCACTGGCCACAGTTCACTGTTCCTGGCCAATGGGAGCGGCGAGAAAAAGCATTTGGCGAGTTGTGGCAGCCTGAAGATCCCTGTGGCCAGCGTTGCTTCCGGTAGCCCCGTTGGCTGGGAACAGTTAACCACGGTCAATGGGAGCTAAAGGCAGCTTATCGGATGCCCTGTCAGCAGTTTATCTTGACGAACTACGTGAGATCGGTGGCTGCAGAAAACGATTTTCTGCACCCATTTCAAAGACAGTTGTTCTTCTATAAATCCCTTTTTTTCACCAGTTTAGCATGCCTGCATTAAGAGTTTTTGCAACTACACTGCTGTAGCCATACAGATATGAATTTCCTTCATGTAGATAAGGCCTTAATTAGCTTCACAAGATATTCACTTATGGAGAAGTGGTGTTATGGGTTGAATGATGGGGGAGGAGGTTTTGTTCCCCCCTCCCCTCATGGCCAAGTAAATAAGTGTTTGGCAGAATATAGCCAAATTAAGTGAGTTAAAGGAGTAAAACAGGGTCTGTGCACAGGCCCCTCGACCTTTGGCTCCTTTTGTGCTCACAAATCCGCTGGAGAGCCTTCTTTTGATGCAGTCACCTGTGCCCTTTATTGTCCATGTCAATTCACTTCCCATCACTATGTACAGAGCTTCAGGGACTGCTAGCTTCTCCAGCTAGCTGGAGAGCACAGCTTTCCACTCCCTGGCTCCTCCTTTTTCCCCATTCCTTCCTTCCTGCTAGCCTTATATAGCCCTGTCACTAGTGAGGCCAGCAGCTTTTCCCCATTTACCCCTCAGGTGTGGGCTTCCTCAGTCAGCCCCAATACTCTATCTTGCTTGCATCAGGTTGCTTAATGTACAGGAGCAGGAGAGCTGCTGTTAAGAGGAGGAAAGGGGGAGATAAAAAGAAGGAAATAGCATATTAAGGTAAGCAGAGCAGGTGGTGCTCAGGGAGGAAGAAGGGGAAGGAGAATAGAAATCTGTAGAAGTCCTTGAAGGTGATGAGGAAGAAGAACTTGAATTTCTTGCAGGGAAAAAAAAGTGGAGGCCAGTGAATACGCATATATTGCACTAGGCATGTGTAACGTGTGAGAAGATATCACATGAGAATTTGATTATCATTAAAGTTTCCACTTCAGCTAGGGATGTTAACCCTTATTGGGTTGGTGCTTACCGGTAACCCATTAATTGGTGGTCCGGCCAACTGGAGCAGTTATTTTTTAACCAGCTATTTTTA